CTTTATATTAACAAAATGTTATGATTTTTTGGATTCTTTTTTTCTTATCCGTGCCTTATTTAACAAATTAAATTAAGAATTAATTAAAGAGTGTTTAAAGTTTTTATAGAGAACAAAGAAATAAAAATAATAAGACTCCTTTGATAATTATGGTTGTTGTATCTTATCATCATGGTGCATATATTCTACTTAATTCATGGCTTTGAATAACTAATTTGCATTTTGCATGAATCATGTCTTACTTCGGTCCACAATTCCAATAAATGAAAATCTGGAAACTTTTTTTTATTGTCTATCATTACTAACTTCCAATTTTTCATATTGTGAGAGTCAATCATTACTAACTTCGATCTCCCAACGCCTTGCTATCCCCTCCATTTCACTCGTCGCCGGAGCCAGTGCTACTACGACAAGGAGGCTCTATCACATCGATTGTCTGTTGGTAAGTCTCAAACTTATCTTTTCTCTTTCTTTCTCCATTAGCGGTAACTCAGATCCCTTTCTCTCTCTCATTTGCAGCTAGTTCGACATATTTGTTCTTCTTACGGCGACGATCTACTAGTCTTGTCTTCCATTCCGGTGAGCCTACACTTATTTGTGTGGAATGTGATTCACCGAGTGCTTGTGGTATTCCTATGTTAAGATAATTTATATGCTTAATTGCCTTTTTGAATTAAGTTTGCTTATATGGTTGTGGCTTGTGGTCCTTGTGGATTGTTTCCCCCTTTTTTTTTATTATGATATTGGAATTCCTGTTTATTGGGTGTATCTAGATTTCTAAAAGATTGAAAATAACCTGTGTATTTGTAATTGCACCAAACCAGAAGTCCTTCTTCAGTCCGCGCTCGCACTTCGGAATAACCTGCAAAGCCCCGAGGTGGAACTCGGGGTAGACACTCCGATGCTTAAGTCAGCAATAATCGGGGTTACCTTTAGGGCGGAGATAAGAAAAGCTTAAGGTTGGTTTCAATTACCTTTTGACGTGGCCCGGAGGGGGTATTTATAAGATTCAATGAGGAACCCACGTGTCATGCCAAGCAAGATAATCGGAGCCTGACGTGTCCATCCAGACGATTATTCCGGGACCGGGAATTTGAGAGGTATCCAGGTGCACGAGCATCCACCATACTTACTGTGCTGCTCATCGTAAGGGATCAGGTGCGGGCATGCTTATTGTCCTTGTCATGCAGCCATTTGAGCGGGAAGCTTTGGATTTATTCCTCACTTCGGTCATAAAGGAACTACTGTAGCTGTCCGAGGTTTGGCACCTCGGCCCTGTCCTTACACTATTCCCCCCCCGAAGTCATTCACTTGTGAATGATGTTGCTGGGGATAGTAAGGGGAATGTATGAACAAAAAGAACAAAGAGCACAAAGAGGGTATCTTACATTTAATCATAGCCGTAGCTAATAATGAAAGATGTAACAATGGGTCATATTGAGGTGGCTTAAATAAAGTATAATCTGAGTAATCAGGATCGGAGTGATAACTTGGAAAGATGATGGCCGGAGTCATAACGTAGTCAGTGTCGTGATAAAAAATAATGACTGGAGTTATAAAAGTGAAGGCCGTGATGGCAAATGATGACCGGAGCCATAAAGGCCGGAGCCGTAATAAAATATGATGACCGGAGTCATAAAGGCCGGAGCCGTAATAAAGCATGATGACCGGAGTCATAATGGCCAGAGCCGTAATAAAATGTGATGACCGGAGTCATAATGGCCGGAGCCGTAATGAAATATTATGACCGGAGTCATTGTGGCCGGAGCCGTAGTAAAACATGTGACACTGGGTCACTGTGGCCGTAGCCGAGGTAAAGGAGCTAACAACTATAATTATAAAAGTAAATAAAAGTGCTGAGTAAGACTGAAGCATAAAGACAGAATAAAATATAATAAAATATAAATAAAGAAATAAAATTGGCCAGGGCCATAATAAAATATAATAAATGAGGTCATAATGCCCGTATCCGAAATAAAATATGTTAGATTGTGTTGCTGTGGCCGAAGCCGAGGTGAAATATGTGACACTGGGTCACTGTGGCCGTAGCCGAAGTGAAATGTAATGCAATATTATTGTGGTTCCGAGGTGAAACACTTTGCACAATTGAGAATAGGCAAAAGTGAACAGAGGTGTTGAAATGGATATAGGTGGGCCCGTGTATAAGTACTGACATTGGTGTGACAGTTGTCCTTGGAATGACGTGCGCAATAAATGCGGCCGTAAAACGATAACTGCAACAGTTAAACGGGCAAAGAATTAAAAACGAACCGTCTAATTCAAAACGGTATCGTTTAAGGTTGTCCGTTGAATTCTAAACGGTGTAAATAGGGACCGTTAGATTAAAAGAATCTCAGCCATTGAGATCTAATTTTGTCCAGAGGTATAAATAGGGATTT